TATTAAATTTTTCCCAATTTTTTAGCATTATAAGTAATGCTATAATGAGTAACTATGTACGTACATTTTTGTGCATGTCTCCGATAATTTCCTAGCAACAAAATACAATTTCTCGGCCAGAGACCACAGTTTGGATGGGTTTAATAGAGTCACAGCTAACCAGTTTTGAGAAGGTGAACTTAACATCTACACTTCTTTCCCCAACAGTCACTCTTCAACCCACTGAATTCTGGCTTCCACTCCCGTTACATTACTGAATGTATATAAATTATCTTCCATTTTCTAACTTCTACATTGGTCTCACTAACCCCTCTAAAGCATTTTATACCACTGATCCCATCCCCTCCCCCATTCCCTCATGAAATGTTCTCCTTTCTTGGTTTCTGTCATGTCACTGTCCCTGGGTTTCTTTTTTGCCCCTCTGTGCCCCACCTCTCAATTCATATTGTCCACATTGCTTGTGTTGCCCACTAAAGTCACTGTTCTTGACTTTCTTTTCAGTGTATCTGATCTTCCTGGGCAACCCTATCAATTAACACATTAAACTGCCACCTAAAAACAGATCAATCCAAAATCTCTACCTCTGGTTTCAAAAGGTCTCTCTTTCATTCCAGGCCAGTATATACCACCACCAATTGAACATTGCCTTCAAACTCAATAGTTCCAAAACTGAAATGATCTTCCTCCAGAATTTGTGCCTTTGCCTAAATTTTATCTTTCAGTTATGATGACTCTTGGCTGCCCAAGCTAGAAACCTTGGGACTATTCCCGCTTCTAATGACCCACCAAATACTACTCCTTTCCCCTGAGACTTCTCCTCTCCTCTGAGCTGTTCCTGTCACAACCTGTGATGCGGTCACATAGAACACGTTATACTTTGAACTATAATCAGCCTCTTTTTACACTTTTCTGTAACAGGTTGTCCTGTGGCCTTTGGGTCTATTTCATGTTCACACTGGGAGCTGGGTTTGTGTCCTTAGTCCATACCACGAAAATTGTTTTAGGGGTGAGGTCTCAGGGAGCTGTCAGGGGGAGGCCAGCAGAGTGGATCGGGCCCTAACAGACCAAGATTTGGCCATGTGAAGGGAGGGCTGTGCACTGGTCGGGCGAGCGAGGGAAGAACAGCCCTTGACCTAGAGCCCCACAACAGTCTAGCCAGGATTCTGCCAGGATCCTGAGCTCAACAGGGCACGGCTCCAGGGAGTCAGGAGGGCGGGGATGGTGCCATGAGGGGGATGAGCCGGTTAACATCAGGAAAGTGGGAGGAACGGCCCCTGCCCCAGAGCCCCAAAACTCAGTCTGTCCCAGATTCTGTCCAGCCCTCAGCAGGGCAGGGCCACCTGGAGCCAACAACATACTATAAACATCTTTCTATGTCACTAAATATAAACACGTAAAATATATAGTCTTAATGTAAGAATTATAATTGGTTTTAATATTATATCTGCCCCCCCCCCCCAGGAACTCTTAAAATCGTTTTACTGTAACTATGTTGGGGGAATATGTATGATATTGTTACTCAAGAGAAAATAAATGTTGTTTATTAAAAAAATATGTTTGGTAAGAGGAAGGATGCAAAATAATAAATAATATATTCGCACTCAATAAATGCTTGTTGAATTGAATACGTAAATGAATGGATGATGGCATCCCTGCTCCTTAGCAAAATGCTGAAGCAGGAGGTGTATCTTTGGCTCCCACCTTCCTTTTCCCCCTTCCTTCTATTATTCCTTTCTCTCCCAAGTCACTCGGCCTTTCGTGTTGACTGGTTTCCTTTTGAAAGAGAAAACTTGATCTGATGAAAACTTTCAGTATGAGATGTGGGAGACCTCTCCCAGGAAGAGTCGCACATTGACAGGTCAATGGGGTTACCGTTTAACAAAAACAAATGAATGACACGTGAGGATGATTGGGGGTTCATCCAGGATGTCTGCAACCATCTCATGCTGCCTGTGAGGAGCAGACACAGGATCCTCATGATATAAGAGGAACTGTAAAGAAGTACTTGTTGTGATTTTAAAAACATATTAAGGAGATTACAGTGTTTATCATCCACTATATAGAAACCATATTCTTAGCTAATCCTTTCGGTGGCTGGCTTGGTGACATGGCCTATGGTGTGTAAGCCAGTGGAAAGGAAGCCCATCCCTAAGGCGTAAAAATGAAGATACATTCTCATTGTCTGAAATGGCCCTTGTGATACATGGTTTTTATATCAATAAGCCATACATCTCAACCTCAGAAACTCTCTATAGTCTTTTATTCAATAGTTCAAAGAAGAAAGGGAAATTTTTCAGACATGCAAATGCTGTGGACAATTCTTGCAGTAAGTCATTAAAATCTCTTTTTAAAGCTTTTCAGGTACTTCAGTAGATTTAAAAGAAAAGTGCAGGACAGTTTATATTTCAAGAATTACATAATAGTTAGCTAGCTTAGTCCATGCTTTGTTTTTTTTTTCCAAACTCGAAGTGGCCCTCGGCGTTATGTGGAGAATGGTGTGCTCACAGTAATGCTGGTAGGCACAGAAGTGTCCCTTTTTCCAGGTGACAGGATTCCTTGTTCCACACAGCTAAGATACTGCCCTACACTGACATACCAAGCTCTCCCTAAACATCACCACATTCATGCAACACACTGCTTTATTGGTGAGGAAATAAGAAATTTCAGGGTGGAATCAGAACAGCAAGAGACTGGTCTTTGAAGTGCTGTGACATTATTTCACAAGCCTCACATCTCAATCCAAGAATATTTTACACCACAGCTACTATAAATTTCACCCGACTTTTTTTTTTAGTATCTGTTAAAATGTGTTTTCTTTTATTCCTGTGAAGACATTAGCATGAAAAATTGAAGTGTTCCCATTCTGCTAAATAGCAATGCTTCATTTCACTGGTGTGTACACCTGCCACTGTTACTTTCTAAACCAGTAATATCTGCTGAATGACATCATCGAAGGCTGTTTCTGTTATCCCCACCCACAAGATGTGGTTTAAAGGAGGAAAATACAATTTTGCTTCTCTTCCTCCTCTGCATTTCTCCCAAAAAAAATATCTCTTCCAAACACAGTACTTCTTTCATTTATTGAGTATCAGTTGTCGGCAAGAAATATATATTCTTCAAATCTCTGCCAGGGTAGTAAAATTCTAAAGGATGGTCAAGAATGACAGAACTAGAGCCCTGGCCGGTTTGACTCAGTGGTTAGAGCATCGGCCAGCAGACCAGTCTCAGGTTCAATTCTAGTCAAAGGCACATACTTGGGTTGTGGTTGGCCCCTGGCCCTGGTTAGGGTGGTGCAGGAGGCAACCAGTCTATGTAGCCCTCTCACATCGATGTTTCTCTCTCTCTCTCTCCCCCCCTCTATCTGAAGATTAATGAAAAAATATCCTCAAGTGAGGGTTTAAAAAAAAAGGATGAGTTAGAGACATCCACTTCCAGCCAAGATACATAGCAGTGACCAGATTTACCCCTCTGCCTGAAACAACTAAATAAAAAGAAACAAACAAAATACATTAAAGAGGTAGTTTTCAAAAAATGGACATCCGAAAATTAAGGGCAATGATCACTAAGAGACAAGAAGGAAATGAGGTGAGCCTTACTACTTCCCTGGCTTCCTAACTGGGGAGTGTTCCCAGGCTGCAGCACAGAAAAGGGGAGTCCAGGTTGAGCCCACAGGTGTCCTTGAGTTGAGGAAACAGAGCTGGAAGTCTGAGTAGGCCTCAGCAGCTAGAATTCACAGGGAAGAGTAACCAGAAAGGAGGGAGCGACAGACAGAGCTCTGGGGATCTACATGGGTCTCCCTGGAGTATAAGAGAATTCTGCCCCAAAATAACATAGTTGGTGGGATTAGGGGTAGACAAGGACATTGCGAGTTATAACTGTATTTTATATGTTCAGTAAGTTAGAGGTAAGATTGAACATGTAGAGACAAGAAGATATATAAAAGATGCAAGTCAAACTTGTAGAAATGAAAACTCCAGCGCCTGAGATGAACAGGAATAACAGATCCCACGTTACAGATGAAAATGTTAATAAACTTTCAGACATAGAATTATAAACTATCCAAAAAGAAACACAGAAAGAAAAAAGACTGGGGAAAAAGGATAGAGCTTCCAGGAGTTGTGGAACATCTTCAAATGGCTAAATATATACATAATTGGTATCCACAAAAGAGAGGCCAGATGAAATATTTAAAGGTATAATGATCAAATTTTTCAAATTTGGGGGTTTACCGATGGCCAGCTTGTTCTTCATTAGTGTTTGGAGTGTAGTCATCTGGGCCTATACCATGGAAGGAAGCTTGCAAAAGCACGTGGAAAAAAATTCCATGTTACTTTTTTAAGGGTTCATTAGCCTCTTTGTATGCTTCAAATCTAAGTCACCTATTTGTGTCTGTGTGTTTCATTATCTTCAATTAAATTTACCTAAATCTGAAGAAAGAAGAATTTCCAAATTTCATCAAAACTATAAATCCACAAACCTAGAAGCTCAATAAACCCCAAGCACAATACATATGAAGAAAACTACACCAAGGTAAATCATAATTAAGCTGCTTAAAGTCAGTCATAATAAAATTGTTTTTAAAGCAGCCAGAGATTAAGGAGAAAAAAAAAGCACATTATGTACAGAAGAGCAAAGAATCAGGAGGATGACAGATTTCTCATCGGAAACAAGACAAATGAGAAGACAGTGGGACAGCATCTTTAAAGTACTGGGAGAATAAAATTGTCAACACAGAATTTTATATCCAGTAAAATTTCTTTGAAACATGAAGGCAGCCCAGCCAGTGTGGCTCAGTGGTTGAGCACTAACTCATGGACAGAGGTCTCTAGTTCCATTCCCAGTGAGGGCCCAAGCTCAGGGTGCAGGCTTCATCCTCAGTGGGGGGCATGCAGGAGGCAGCCAATCGATGTTCTCTCTCATCAATGTTTCTGTCTCTCTCTCCCTCTCCCTTCTTCTCTCTCTAAAAATCAATTAAAAATATGTTTTAAAAAATGAAGGTAAGCTTTGCGCAGTGTCAGTATTGTAGCCAATGAGGTTTATCCAAGGCCTGATTATTGCTAATTGAAAAAAATAAAGGCAAAATACATTTTAAATGCATATGCTGAATTAATGCATTAGAAACTATGTGGATAATATAAAAACATTTTTTTATTAAATAACTCTTCCTGAAATATAATTAGCAAGTAAAGCAAAAATAATAAAACTGCATTGTAGATCTTAAACATCATTAGTAGTTAGGAAAAATGCAAATTAAAATCACAATGAAATATCACTACACAACTACTAAAATCTCTAAAATTGAAAATACCAATGGTATAGAGCAACTGGAATTCTCGTACACTGCTGGACGAAATGTAAAATAGTATAACCAATTTGAAACAGTTTAACAATTTCTTACATAATTTAACATTCACCAACCAGCCATTCCACTCCTAGGTGTTCACTAAAGATATGAAAGCCAATCTCCACACAACGACTTGTACACAAATGTTCACAGCAGCCTTATTTGTAATAGTCAATAACTAAAAACAATTCAAATGTTTATTGACAATAAATTGATAAACAATGTGGCATATTCATACAGTGTAATTCTATACATGCAGGAACATGGATGAATAGCAAAATAACTATGTTGAGAAAAAAGTAAGACAAAAATATAGTATATACATATATATAAACTTCTAGAACATACAAAAAATATGGATTGACAGAAAGCAGATGAACGGTTGTTTGGGAATTGAATGGAGTAGGGAGGGGGTTTAACAAGTATGTGTATATGCTAAATTATATTGCTTTAAAGTTAAATTATATCATTTAAATATATGCAGTTTGTTGCATGTCAGCTACACTTCTATAAATCTGTTTTTAACATATAAAAGAATGGCATTAAATACAAGCTCTATGAGGCAGAAATTTGTTTCTGTCCTAACTGCAGTATCCCAACCACAGCTGTATGACTGACACATACTATATATACTTATTAAATATTCCTTGAATCCAGAGTACTAGAAAAACTGGCATGTGGTTACAGTGGTCACATAAATCTGTGCCACCTTATCTTTGCTCGGGACCTTGTGTGGAAGATGCCCACTCTATCAGGATATAGCCCGACTGTTCTCACTTGGTTACTGGGGATTCTTAAATACTAAATATTTTTAAGCATCATATGAACTTTGATCTTCCAACCTGGAAACAATCCTCAGGGGTGGTAGATACGCTCCCTGCCCACCACATACTCATGACCTGCTTCCATGATGTAGAGTTGTTATTGGGAAGGGGCTGCCCTGTCCGAGATTACCCTTCTCAACCCCAGGCCATGCTAAATAATTTGTGTGGCCCATGACAAAAGAAAAATGAAGAACCCTTTTAAAATTTTAATTAATACGAATTTCTAGATTGTGATAGCAGAGCATTAAACCCAGCATGGAGCCTGTGTAAGTATGGAGCCCTGTGCTGCACAGGTCACAGGCCCACGAAGCCTTCCCTGCTCTGCCCCCAGTTGCCTCTGGAGTTAGAGGCTAAGGAAGATCTTGCCAACTGAATGTGAGTAGAAGTGGTAGGCATCACTTCAAGCCAAGATGGTTAAGAAGAGAGTGCGCCTCTTCATCCGTTCTCTTCAGCCAGTGGATAGCAGTAGTCAGAGTGAGCTCTGATGCCTCTATTGAGCCTTGTCCTCCAAATTCTGACCCTCTTCCCTGAGGTTGCACCCTGTTCTAACTGACGCCCTCCAGCCCAAGTTTGCCTAGCCCAGTTGCCAGCCCCCTCCAGTCTCCTTGGTCAGTGAACTATTTCTTCAACCTAGACCCAATGTGTCTCCTTTCCTAAAGGAGCTCACATGGGATTGCTGGAACAGTACCTCCTCTGGGCACTAATGCTGTCTCACCTCATCCCCCACCCTCCTCCCGCTTTGGGCCTTTAGGCAGAAGCAGCTTGCACAGTGCAGTCCATTCCCCCAAAAATGTCCCTGGAGCTATATTTAGAATCCTCTTGAACTGTGATTTCCAGCCTTCTTTAGGTGAGAGACCCCTTGGAAAATCACCGCAAAGTGTGAGGTCTCCCCAGAAGTCTCAGCACAGAGTGGGAGTCCACGCAGGAGGCTCATGGGCTAGAATTCTGTCTGCTAAGCGGAAGTGAGGAAGCCACCAGATTCCAGAGGGCCCAGCACTGAGGAGGAGCAGCTGTGTGTCCCAGCCCCAGTGCTGGTTAGAAATGCGGGCTCCGTGCTCCTCACCCCCCACAGCTGCTACTCTGCCCCTTGAGTCTCAGCAGATTCTAACCCACTGATCCCGCCTTCGTCCTAACCTGCCTGAGCTCCATCCACTCTCAAATCACTTCACCCCTAGCAGAAACAAGATTTGCTAGAATATTTATTTTCTATTCTGTCTTTTTAATTTTGTAAGTACAAGATGTATACAAAACATGCACAAATAATAAGTACACAGCTCAGTGATCTATCTAAATGGGAACATACCCGTATAACCACTTCCCAAGTTTTAGAAAAATCTTAGACCTCAGTTGATTTGTGTCCCCTCCCCATCATAATCCCTTCAGTCACTCCAGAGGTCATTTATATCCCAACACCTAACTCCATAAACTAGTTTTGACTATTTTTGAATCTTAGATAAATGGAATTCTTCCATATGTATTCTTTGTTCTTCCAACTTTTTCATTCTGAAAACTTTTACATCTACAGAAAAAAATTGTAAGATTATACAAAAAAGACTCATGTAGCATTAACCTAGTGTTCTCCCTGTGTGTGACTCTGTCTTCACATGGCCATCTTATAAGGACACTAGTCATATTGGATTAGGAGTCCACCCTGGTCCAGTATGACCTCATTTAAACTATTTATCTCTGTATTTCCAAATAAGGTAACATTCTGAAGTACTGGGGGTTAGCAATTCAACAAATATTTTTAGCGGGAACACAATTCAAATCATAACCATCCTTTCTTTAAGATGCCATTGAAGTACATGAAGGAGGGTAATTGCTTACCTGACTGTGGGTCCCTGTGTTTTTTATCTTGCTGGTCTCTGTTGAGGGGTGGCTATTCTGAGTTACTTATCATTAAACTAGTTATGAATATTTGACCACACTTACTTAATCTCTCTTTCTCCGATAGATAGATGATAGATAGATAGATAGATAGATAGATAGATAGATAGATAGATAGATATAGATGATAGATAGATAATTTAAAAAGTAAATTATAGATTATGGACATGAAAACCCATTTTTAAATACTTTACCTTGTGGGTTCTAAGAATAAAGTCATTTTGCTACCCAATTAAAATGTTATCATACATAAGAAAATTAACAATAATTCTATATTGATTATCTAATATCCAGTCCATATTTAATTTGCTTCAGTTATGCCAAAAATTACTTTATCAACTCTTTTTCTAAACAGTATGCAATCAAGTCTCTCACTTACATTTGGTTGTTAACTGTCTCTTTCGTCTCTTTTAGTCTAAGACATAACCCTACTCTTTCCCATGACATTTTCTGTTTGGAAATCTAAGCCGCTTGTCTTTTAGAGTCTTCCACACCCCTGATGTGTCTATTCCTCCGTGGTGTTGTTTAACTTGCAATTCCAGCCCCTGTATTTCTTCTATACTGCAGATTAGGTTAAGGCTTGATGAATTCGGGTTAAATGTTTTTTGGCGAGAATACTTTTTAGAAGTCTGCTCTATATTTACATCTATCCAATACATTTTCTTATTCATTCTTCTCATGTAACTTCCTTCTCAATTCTCTGTGACTATTTGCAAGAATAGCAGCAGTTAAGCTCCAGAAACCCTTCAGTAAAACTATAGAGGTTCACAGAAATTTTTATTTTTTTTTAATTTGTATTGCTTGATTTTAGAGAGAAAGAGAGGAAGGAAAGGGAGGGGGGGCATCAATTTGTTGTTCCACCATTTACGCATGTTTTGGTTGATTCTTGTATGTGCCCTGACCAGGGATTAAACTCACAACCTTAGCTCATCGGGACAACATTCCAACCGAGCCAGCAAGCCAGGGCCACAGAAAATATTTTTTCAAAGCTTGGCGATCTGTACATGACAGTTTGACTACGACGGCTGCAGCATCATTTTCTTTAAGGTCTTAGTTCCCTGACCCTCATGGTGGCAAAACAGAATCTCTAATTTCATATAAGAAGGACAGCATACCTTTCTTCTTATTATTTTAGGGAGAGATAGCCAAGTCTGTTTTTCGGTTACATTTATTAAAGACAAATATTTCCCAGTGCATTTCACGTCCACAGGCACCAAAGGGGGCAGGGGTGCAGAAAAAGAGAAGCAGAATGAGGTGGGGGAATCGGTAGCGGAACAATGATAGAATTCAGAAGGTGGCTATCAAACATTTTAGACACGACTTCCTTAGACCCATGCTCACCCTCACGATATGTAAGAAAACCCTAGTATTTTATAACCCAGTCTGTCATTATTTTTTTAAAGAAGAAAAGAGTCTGTGTTTAATTTATAACCCCCAATGGCTCATGACCTGGAGTTAGGGTAATAATGCATTACGCTAGTTAGTCTAAGTGTTTAGCAAGCAAATGTGAACCAAAAAAGGGGGTTCTATGGAAAGTAACTTCACTGGCTGATCTGATCATAAATTTCTAACTGGGCAGGTCATGGTAACTTCTTTAGTGAAGGGTTTTAAGCCAGTCCTGTCCATTGTTCTTGGGCATCTAGGTTAACACACCTTTGAAACACCAGAAATAATACCCCTTGAAGGGGGCATTAACTCTCGAGAGAACACATCATCTTGTCAACTATACTATAATCTGATCCTTGCCTTGCATTTTCTAATCTTTCTTACGTCCTCTCCTTAATTTCAAATGCATAGAATAAGCTGCAAATGTCATCTGTTTGGCTCAAATAAACTTATAAAAATTCTCTACAGGTTTGAATGCTTCTTATCTAAACACAAATGAGGAAGAATTAGAGTCAGTAAAAGCATACGTAATTATCTGCCATATTTTAATTATTCAAAGCAATTTTCTCCTTCAGCTACAGCTAGCATCTTGTAAAGATCAATTGGAGTCAAAAGACTTGAGTTTGAATTTTCACTTACCTGCTTTCAGTCTGATTACCTTGATTGTGCCCCTTAACTTTTCTGAGACTGTATTTCGCCTCTG